CGGGGGGAGGGGTCCGCGGGGGAGGGTTCCGTTGGAACCCTTGCCGTGCGGCCCCTGATCGAGCTAAACTTTCGCGGAAAAAAATAGCTTGCTTTCCGTGGTTACATAGAAGAAGCCAATAATACCCAAACCATACGGCCCCAGGCCATTGGTATTTGGTTGACATTCCAGGTCGATTCCAAATAGCATAGGGGACATCCTGTCTTTTTAATCGCCTTTGAGACGCAACAGCCAACAACCTCAATTGATGCCAATGCGTGATTAACGTTTCATTAGTTTGTTTGCAAGCTCGCAATGGCTTCGGCCAATTACCGTCAACTTGGGTCAAATAACTATATTCAAAGGCGGGTTGATATGTACGTGTTGGGTTCTTGTATCGAAGTTCAACATTGCCATTGCCCCTCCAGTCCAAATGTTACCCAGAATAGATACTGTGGCGCCGGGCTGGAGCGTCTGTAGGCGCGGTGCTGACCGGTCGAGTCAGGTCGGCTGTGGCAAAAGGGCAAGTTGGGGGGGGGGGGGGCAACTACCCCACCAACTGTACAGGAAGCTCCGTCCCTGCAGGGGAAGAGTGATCATTACTGTTATTCATACATACTTGCATACATTCACATGATCGCTCAGATGCGCGGTAGCCTTTCCAGCTTTCCATTAATGGTTGGGAGAAAAGTAAGCAGACTGGTCGCAGAAGTTCAACCACGCCAAAAATGGCTTACCGTTCATTATTTAATTGCATATTAATATTTGCGAGCGACGTCTAAGCGAGATGAAAGAATAATTCACGAACTCACTAGAATGAATCGGTACCTACTCAGTGAATTCCAACAGCAACTGGGAAAACACCAATACGGGCGAGGGTTAAGTCGCAGACGATCTATCCAATATGTCTTGCATTCCTGTCATAAGATAGCTGCACGAAACGCATAGGAACTTCGCAAACTCACTAGAATGAATCGCTGCTCCGAGGATTCCCCGGGTGGTTTGCGGATCTCGTCAACTCTTCAGGGAGTTCGCGGTTATCCTGAAGTCTTGTTCCGGTGCGAGCGACTTTAGCGAGTGTCATTTGAGCGAACGTCATTTGAGCGAACCATTTTCAGCGACTGGCAACTTAGCGAATATCAAATTGAGCGATTATCAAATATAGCGATTATCAATTTAAGCGAAAGCTATGTTTCAGCGACATCTTTTTCGTCGACTACAGTTTGAGCGACTGTCATTTCAGCGAAACACTTCATCGTCCCGTAACGGTGTATTTTTTTTCTTTTGTGAGCGTTCGTACAACGAATGTTTCCGGAACTTTTCATGGTTATTCGGAACTGGATGCCGGATGTCACGATCAAAGTTCAGACATTAAGCTCCAAATTTGATGCCACATTTCTAAAAAATTACAGCGGTTCGATTTCACCCCCCCCCCCACACACACACACACCTGCTGTTTGCCAATAATGATGACCAAACGTTTGTTCAGAGATTCATATTGCTTGTGCTGTTTTTCGCGAAATTCCCCCGCTTGAATTTGGATCAGTTCCCCATGTTGTAAAATTTGTTCTTGCCCCAAGCACCGTACGAATTTCCAGATATTTGGGTGAGGGCCCTGAAACAAAGACTGGATCCCCCTGTGCCATCCCTCGAGTTTATTATTGGTCCTTGGCATTCCTTCCATCGTCCTATCTCTCACGTTCCACATTTCCAGATCAAAGTTGCAGAATGAGGCCAGATATTTTTGTGGTTTCCAAGCTTAGAAGAAAAGGCCGCGCGCAGCTTGAAGCATGACGCATACCAAGCGGGTATTCCAAGGGCAAGAATTCCCGCAAAGTAGCAAATGATTGACTTCCGTCGCGTTCGGTTTCGCTGTAACTGTGTTCGCTCAATTGGTCCCCATTGACCTCCATATATTCGCTCAATCTGGTTTCGCTGATTCTGGTCCTCGCTTATGTTGATAATCGCTGTGATTGAATTCGCCGACTTGACAATCGCTGAAAAAGTCAATCGCTTAAATTGATAATCGCTGAAAAGGCTTCGCTCAAATGTCATTCGCTGAAACGACGCTCGCTCAGGTGTCGCAGAACCGTCTTGTTCATCCGCGGATCTCCGCCCGTTTATCCGCGAATATACTAGACTTGATGTTCATCCGCGGAGTCACTAGGGACTCCGTGGATTCCCTAGGGACTCCGCGGATCCACCGATTTCGCAAACTCACTCTAACATCGGCACTTGGCGCCGTGCCCTGCCTGTGCCGGTCTTGTCATAGCAGCGACATTGCCGACACCTCGCCCCGCGGCGGTCGCCTCGCGTCAACCACCAGTCAGCGATGAGTCATGGACTGTGCTGTGCTCTAAGAGCCAGGCTCGGTGCAGTAGCGGGCAGGGACACTAAGATGCCGGGCCGGTGCAGGAAATGAGGACATATTAATAAGTATAATTTTTGCCGGGCCACTGAATTTATCTCATGATCTTAAAAGGTTACACCTCACTTTGGCTAGCTTAATATCCCATGAATTAACTGACTATTTTCCCAGTGACTTATTAAAACAAAACTGTTATAGGAATGCAACTGGTGTCATCCCCCAAAAGAAACATTATAACAGCACCTGACGCATTTAAAAGGAGGTACCTACATACCACATTTCATCTTGCAAGTAGGTACTCACATGCCCACATGGTCAGGCCTGCCTATAATCCGTTAGAGTTTGACTGCCCGCCCAAGTAAGGTGGCGTCGCGTGCTGCTCGCATTTTACTAACAGTAACGGAAGGCCTGATTTATTGCCGCTGCCAAAAGGAACGCGGTCCTTGAGCGATGACAGCAACAATGCCAACAACGTTAGCAATAACAACAGCAAAAAGAATTAGACGATGCCTACCTAGGCTATCAACCGGATCAGCTGTGGGCTGTCGGCAAGGAACCCATTCCTTTCTCGGCTTTCCAATAATTTATTGTTAATCTGCCTGATATCCTTGTCTCGTATAGGCAGATGTTGATGTTGCGTAGTCAATCTGTTCAATGTGATTGCCGATTGGGCGCTAAAGGCAGATTCATTTTGTCACTCCCTCGGCCAGCCGAAGGTGCGCTTCCCGTCCCGGCTCTATCCCCTGTTCAGTGGCACGGACCTCCTTCCGCTGATATCCTCCGCAGCACCGACCTCCCCTCAGAGATGTCCGCCGGACCATCGACCTCTCGGTGGCATTCTGACTCAACGATGTGCGCCGAAGCGAGACGGCGCTACTGCCGTTCCGGCAAGGCAGGTAGCCGGCCGCGCCGTCCGCGTGTCGGACTCCGAGTGATGGCCTTCTGCCGTGTCCGGGCTGGCGGCGCGCTGATTGATTTACTCTGACGTCTGGCATGTCCGCTGACAGGCAGGCAGACCGGGGGCCGCCGACGTCGCCACCGCGCGCCGCTGTCCGAGAGCGGTGAACGGGACCCAGAGGGCCAGGGAGGTGGGGAAAACACAGGAATGAATGCAAGGGACCCGAGGGCTATACACGGGGGTGGACCAGCTGAGGCGGACATACTCGGAAGCAGGGATGCGGAGCCGTGGAAATTTCAGACGGCTCCGGCTCCGGCTCCGGAGAAAAAAATCGGCTCCGGCTCCGGCTCCGGCTCCGGGTGAAATGTTATGGCGGCTCCGGCTCCGGCTCCGGCTCCGAGTAAAATGGTCCGGCTCCGGCGGCTCCGGCTCCGACTCAGTACATCCCCTACGCAATCAAAAGTGAACTATTTCCTTTAAATACGGGTGGAAGAAAAATTGGATTGGTTATACGCGTTACTCTTTGCCATGACCGGCTCACCGCGTCCCCGCGCAAACGCACCTCGGAGAGAACTGGCAGAACAAAGGGCTAGGAAGCGATGGCATTGGAAACGCAGTCGCCGCGAATCGGAGTTCAGTGAACCATCGTAAGCTGACACCCGTCTCGGCTGCATTGGGGGGTGAGGGGTGGGGGGGGGGGGTGGGATGAGACGGTGCTGGGAGTCGCAGGCCACTGCACTGGTTTGAAAACAATGGCCGTCACCTGATGACTGGTCCTCATGTTCTGGGGATGCAGTAGACGTGGGGGGGGGGGGGAAGAGCAAACAGGAAGTTGTTTGCGTACTGTGGGATACTGGGGATATTCGGATTTTTTCATTCACTTGATGGCCCATGACGTAAGTACCATATGTTTTACTGCCTTGTACTGTCAAACCGAACTAGGTCAATTATTTTTTTTTCCTCTTCAAAAAATAAAAAGGAGCCGGAGTCGCCCCCTTTTTTGGCGGCTCCGGCTCCGGCTCCGGCTCCGGGCTATATTGTTTCACGGCTCCGGCTCCGGCTCCGGCTCCGGGCAAAATATGCCGGCTCCGGCGGCTCCGGCTCCGACTCCCGCTCCGGCTCCGCATCCCTGCTCGGAAGACATACTCGGGTATGCCGACACGGTTTATGATATTTATTTTCGTCATTAAGCATCCAAGGGCACCAAGCATCCAAGCGCCATGCATCGGTACATGGCGCACACCCATTTATGTATGGGAGCGTTTATAAGCGATTCAAGTGAAGTCGTAATCGATACCTAATGCTCTCACTACGTAGGGACTGAAGAATTTACCCTTTCTTTGCATTATCTGAACTTATCTTTTTGGAAGATCAAGCTCCCATGATAAAAACGAGATGAGAGCTCGCTTTAAAGCAACTCTAAAATCTAACTAGCATCTTTTTATATTTTTGTCTGTAATCGCACTACTTTCCCGCATATTTGCCCAGCATGCCTCGAATTTACGAGAAAGGTATTGAAGCCTGAAGGTTTGATAGCGGTATGAGGTATTGCCATGTTTCAATAGGCATCAATTGATTATCCAAAATATTTTAATTTAATCATCGAAATAAAATAATCCGAACCAGTTTAGCTTTGCGTCTAACCTCGACGCTCATCAAAACTCGTTTGGATTCTTTTAATTCGACGAAGATACTTTCTTTTTTAATGAACTCAATTAAAAATGGTACGCTAACATGAGTAATAACAGCCAGCCAACCGTTGGCAATTAATATATTATACCTCGAAAGGGACCAAGATCGACAGATACGGTCTTACAGCCACAAGCAACATCATTGACAAGAACAATTCGGTACACATCCATCAAAACGGCTCAATATCGGATGATTCACAAAAGACTGACACATCAATGACTCTATCCTTGTCACCGGCAGCATGGATGTTCACTTATTCATTCATCTGTTCTTTTCTTGTCCACAATGCGGTCTAGGGCTACTACCCACGCACCATGTCAAAGTGACTAGGTGGCACCACCATCGCTGAAACAGATGTCGCCCCATGCGTATTTTTCCACTCATCTCACACTGCACACACCACTCTCTACCTCAGCTGATGGGTGCCGAATCATCTGGCTCAAAGTCAATCTGTTCCGGCGTCACCTCTATCAATTTGTCCACACCGAGCACCCGCACTGGTGGCCTCACGCCCGTGATCACGCCGGTCGCCACGGTAACTCCGTTCTCGCGGAGTGTGAAATGGTGACCGCGCCTCGCCAGCATCTGCCGCGGCAGCAGCAGACTGACCCGGCCAGCGTCTCCAGGCAGCATCATCTCCGTCCCGGGAGGCAGCATCACCCGGCAGCCAACTGTCCACGTCTCGCAGAACAGCTGTTGCACGTAGCTGGACGTGATGGGTTTGCTGCGACCGCCCTCGCTGCGCTCCAGGAGGTAGAGTCGCGCCCACAGCACGTTAGACGTGTCGAACGCACCGGGAGGTGTCAGAGACATGCCACGCTTCACCGCAGACACGGGGACGCCGCGCAGAAGTATCCCCGCGTGCTCGCCGGCTTCAATCTGCGGCACCGACTTCTTGAACACCTGGATATCGGTGGCGACCGTCTTGATGCGAGTGTCGAAACCGACCAGCTCGGCGTCCACGCGGCGCTTCAGCACGCCCTGTTTGAGCGTGCCGACCACCACAGTACCGCGGCCGGGCACGGTGAACCCGCTCTCGACGGGCATAAGGAACGGCGCGGCTCGGTCTCGCTCCGGTATAGGCACGTGCTCGTCCAACGCTTCCACCAGCCGCCAGATGGAGGGTTCGCCGAGCTCCCCGTCACCGCCGTTCAGTGCCTGCAGCGCCGAGCCGATCACGAACGGCGTGGCCGAGCCGTCAAACCCGAAATTATCGAGCAGCTCTCGCATCTCCAGCTCGACCAGCTCCAGCACCTCCTCGTCCACCAGATCCGCCTTGTTGACAAACACGACGATTTTATCAACACCGATCTGCCGCGCCAGCAGAAGATGCTCGCGCGTCTGCGGCATCTGACCGTCGTTGGCAGCCACCACAAGGATGGCGCCGTCCATCTGAGACGTGCCACAGATCATGTTTTTCACATAGTCGGCGTGTCCGGGGCAGTCTGTGTGCGCGTAGTGGCGGCGCCCGCTGCTGTACTGCACGTGTGCCGCGTTGATGGTGACACCCCGCCGTCGCTCCTCCGGCGCGCGGTCGATCTGGTCGAACGGCACGTACTCACTCTGCTGGTGCGCGCCCAGCACGCGTGTAATGGCCGCTGTCAGCGTCGTCTTGCCGTGGTCTACGTGACCGATGGTGCCCACGTTCACGTGGGGAAGCTCTGGAAAAGTGGGGTGTTGTCAGAAAAAGCCTGAAATTAAAATATTTTGGATATAAACAAAAAGTGAAAAATGAACATCAAACGAAGTGTCCTGAATTCTTAAAAAAGATCTGCATTTTTAGAACAATTATATTTTCTGAATAAACAAGTAGCAAATGCAGTGTTATCTCTTGTTTCTAAAAAAATATGAAGCAACTATGTAGGTAGTAAATAGGACATTTACTCAAGGCTTGTACCAAAATGAAGTGGCATTTTCAGGCTCACTCCAACTCAAAGTTTTGAACCCTGCCTGCAAAATAAAACAGCACATACCTACCTATGCATTGTTAACAAATGTGATAAGTCCTTGCTTTCACCAGCAGCTTCATTCAGCAGAAACCCACCTGATTTGGATTCATCTGCTGATCCTCCAGACTTCTGAGGAATTTTAGAATTAGTAGTCTTCCATCTTCTCCATGACCAATTGGTATAAGGGCCATATTTAGCTAGCAAATTTGACTGGCTTGATCCAGCACATGACAACAGTCTGAGGGCCCTGTGCTGAAGGTGAAGCTGAACAGCTGCCATGAGACAGCGGCTCAAACTAGCAGACATCATGCAGACCTTGTTCCGAGGATCCAGAGTCAGGTAAGATATGGTCAGAGATCAGACAAAAAGACCATCAGGCCAATGCCTGAAAAACTTACGTAGGACCTGGAAAGAAAAGTACCTATATCAGCCTGAGCTAGTTCAAACACAAACTAAATAAATTATATGGTAAAATTTGGAATGCTCAATTCACAAGATTTGTACTAGACACAAACTGAAACAATTGCATTACACAAATCAGGAAATGCACTTTTTGAGGAAAAGACAAAGAAACCATTATGGCCAGTTCCTTAGATATATTTATAATGTTTAAAGGCCAAAATAAGACTGATTACATACCTATTTATCTCTCGCAGGTATCACTTCAAAACAAACAATCTAATCAAGCATTGGCCAAAAGCATTGGCTTCGGTAGGTGTCACAATTGTCAAATACGCGCACAGCTCATGATGTGTCAAAAGTGGAAATAGCTCTATAGATGGCCTTGGAAATAGCCGGTGCGCCGTCTGGCAACCCGGCAGCCCGCCGCCATAGGGAAATTCATGCTTTTTGTCGCTTTTTCGCTCCTTGTGAGTCACTTGATCTAATTAGAGCTTAACTAGGAACGAGGCGGGTCACTTGGACGTATTCGGGAGCCGAATACGGTGTTTTGGAGCCAATACCTGGGAAACCCTACCCGCCCAATGCGATTTTCTAAGAGTCTGCATGCCCAAATTAACGTTGAGCGCGGCCGTTTTCGGTCGGTTTTCCGCGACCTTGTGGCGAAATCGCCTTATTTATTCAACCAGGGTGGGCTAATTCGCTTAACTAGGAATGAGGCGTTGAAGAGAATTATTCAAGGAATAGAGCTGTGCAAAAATATTTTTTGTATTGTCAAAACTGTATCCGCCCTCGAACGATAAATATTGTTGACCCATCAGAAACATATCCCCTGGAATGCGTTTGGACTTGGCTGGATCTAATATTAGCGAGTATCTGCTAATGCAGTTTCTTGGCTTACACAGTACGCACACAACCATACATACTTCCTGCCCTTGGTTATTCCTCACTTGAATGAAAATTTTGCTATAATAACTATTCCAAGCAGTTAACAGGTTTTAGTGCAGTGTCAAGTCGGAACCGTTCAGGGCCGCCAGTCTCCCAGGCGGCGCGAAACGGGCGCCGCCGGCCGCCGCGCCGCCGCTCTGGCAGGGTGTTTGACTTCATATCTCTGTCGCTAGAAAAGTTGTGGACCGATATACTTGATTCTTGCATGAAAAGATCCGCCATTAAATTCTTAGCAGATAACGAAAATTTGACGTCAATTGCACGATCCGCTGCCCATGTTGTGGTACTGCCATCTATTGACAAGGCTGGCGAACTAAAGCCGGGCGGCTATTTCCACTTTTGACACACCATGTACGCATCTTTCTTTGCTACCATATGCTACCATATCCAAAAAAGTACTCCCGGTTACAATCATTCAATTGCCAATCGCATAATGCAACTTTATGCACGTAATCGCACAGCGCTTTTGCAAGCTCCAACCGTTCCAAATTCCAATGTTTTTAGTTCAGCGTTTGTCGATTCAGGAGTATGGCTCGTGAGTCGTAGAGCTCCGTAACCTAATTTTGTGCGTTCCGTTGCTTAGTTTGTCGGTTGACAGTAATGACTTGATTGCAAGAGGAAACTGAGAGGCCGGATCCGAGTTGTTTCGCTGCTCGATAAGTATGAGACTTCTGAAGGTTGGGTGACGAATGGCGGGGACGGTGCAAAGCTGGTGAGCATCCGCAGGTAGTTCAGCGGGAAGGAGTGACAGTGGTGTCTGGCTTTGACGGGTATAAGTTTGACATCCGAATTCTATCGCTTACCAAAACCACCCGATCGAACGGGATATTTGGGCCTACGGTAAGCAGCAAGCTGGCTATTTAGCGTGGGACCCAACTAGAGCAAATCGGACATGCAAACATTCGAGCCATATTTATAAAAAGAGGTCAGAGATTCGATATCTGCTGTTCTACATCCTACGTCCTAAGGCTTACGGGCGCAGAATAAAACCATTTATGTAACATGTTTATTGCATGCACAGGTTAACCAGTTTCAGAACAGGAATGGATGGCTATCAAATAACTACCTACGCTATTATAAACGGACTAGAGTCGCCGTCGCGGTTCACCTGGAAGACTACGTAAATAAAAATAACACCAAGTACACGACCAATTAACACCAATCACAAACACTTGAATGCAGCCTTGTTCATAACAATGAAAGGCACGATGACACTGAAAGGCCGGGGTAGCCCGTCGCTACCTTCTCTTCATTCTCATAATATTTCATTATCGGTCACAACTCACAGTAAACATGGATGAAATGGAACCTGGGGCGCTTGCATCCCCAATTCCTCAACTTGCGGTAGACGATCTTGATGTCATGATCTGGGTGACGATGTATAGATTATGATTCATATCACAGTCATGGATCTACATAGCTAATCTACCCTGTGCTCAGTTGGTCGGAGAGAACCAGTGAGCACCGGAAGACTGCACCGTTCCTGGCCTCGTCACTGGTGCAGGTATTCGTCCACGCACTTCATGTTTTCTGGAAATGAGAAACGGAATGTGTCTGTACTTGTTTGTGCTACGATTTGAAAAGGTCACGATAGCTTCAACAACGCCGGAGATGTATGGATACAAATAGCATAATGTTAAGTTTATAAGCAATCATGTTAATTACAGCCAAAAACATTAGACAGGAGAAAGTGATGACATTCAAAGGCAGTACACACTCATTCCTAAAATATTTACGATTTTCTCATTCACCCACCTTGCACTTGCTCCACCATCCCCTGAACATACGCCGGGGTGTTGTGGTCCTTCCTGAGACCCGCACTAAGCTCCAGGTCAAAGCTGGGACCGTAGCGCATGAAAAACTGAAAGCGGTGGAAAAAAAAACGTCAGAATAGTCCTAAATGAAGAGAAGGATTGCTAGAACATCTGACACAATCAAGATTCAATGAATATAATGCATAGTCGATTCGATAAATTATCAGTTATCGAGAACATCCCGAAATCTTGTTAGCTGATGAGCTTCAAGCAAACTGTTTATTTATATTACCAAACAGTGGGACTATTAACTACATAGCCGAAAGTCAAACCTGATATCATCTGCAGCAAGATGACCTGATGCCGCTCTGATTGAAGGCGTCTGTACAGCACATATTATGCAATGGATTTTCATCGAGCCTCAGCCCAGCCACTGGTGCACACATGCCGCAATTATAATTGATTGCCCGGAACACCTGCTGCGCTACCCCCACCTCCCTGATGATAGGTAGAATTGAGTTTACCCCGTGCCTGCTCACCGGATGGTCGGGAATGTCTGGCGTCAGCCGCCGGCCGAGGACCAGCGCGGTCAGCTGGGCCCAGCAGCGCGCCACGTTGGCCGCGCTGTACCCTCCGCCGCCCAGCAGCAGGGTGGGCCGTCCGGCGGCCAGCACGCGGCGCACGCAGCGCGCCAGACCGGCCGGCGTCAGGCTGAACGTGCCCAGAGGGTCACCGGCCAGTCCGTCGGCGCCACACTGACACACCACGGCGTCCGGACGGAACGCGGCCAGCACCGGCGAGATGGTGCTGAGGGGGGGGGGGGGTAAGGGGGCGTGCTAGGTGTGTGGTGGGAGGCACTTACGGCCGGAGAGTAGCCGGAACGTGGCTTGGAACTCGAAAGCGTTCAGTGTACAACAGAAATGGAAGTGGTTAAACACAAGTTCAAAGTGAGTAATATTGCGACATTGTATCAACATCATAATGCGTAAAACATCACGTTTCAATTCACAAGCTAATATAACAGACGAATGTTGTTCCTTCTTCCCAGCAACGCACCTGTCAAACGCCTTGAAGAATGTGTCATCGTTGGCGCCCTCTTTCAGCGGAACATTGCAGCAAAAGTACCGTCCACGGCCGCAGCCCACGTCGTCGATGCTCCCTGCAATAAAATGGTTAATCCATGACGACAGCAAAACTGGACGAACACCCGCATTAAAATTTCCTTTCTCTGCGTAGCCAAGATTAGGGTATTAATCCTTTTTTGTGCAAAAAGCGTACTTACGAATAAACGAGCAACAGAACTTCTAACAGACGGTAAAAAACCTGCTTCATACACAATAAGTACGAAGTGGCGCTGTTTCACCTACCTGTTCCAGGGAAGTATCCATCTTCATAATGATGGATGGAGTAGGTGAACACCTTGGACGAGTACAGGAAAGCGTTTTCAACCCCGTCACCTGTGAAAGATACGATCGATACGCTCGTTAACCCTCGCCCCGTTGGGGGGGGGGGCCATTTCTGCCGTCCAAACCAAAACAAGCGTAACTCACTTTTTGGCCATTTTGAGATAATGGTATCGTTCGACGGAGAATCAAATAGGGAATCTATATACCAATTTATAGACTTTAATGCTGAATATATTTTAAGTTATTTTAAATTTTATTTTTATGAAGAAACGTATCTTCTCAAGTGAGCTAACTTTACAAAAGAAGAAAAGCGTAACTCATAATAATTGACGATAAAAAGCGTAACTCAGGAGTTACGCTTTGCTTGCATGGAATTATGGAAAATGTTGTTGAATTACGGTTTTATCAAAGCATATTTAATCAATGCCCTTGTCCCAACTTACCATTCAAAGCAATGGCAAGGAGCCACACCGCTCTCGTGTGGGCACCAGTGCGGAGCAGCCTGCAGCGCCATGGTATGGGACGTGGGGTATTCCACATCATGGTATGGGGTATCCCGATGTTAGCTTCCTCTCGGCAACCGGGAAGATCCGCAGAGCCGCCCATCAGACTGTTCGCACTTCGCCAACCGGGGAGGAGGGAGGGTGGCAGCCGACCCACCGTTGGCATTGGGTATAGCCGGTCCCGTGGCCGGCTCAGGACTCATGAACGCACAGCGCGGCCGCCCACTCGCCGCCGGTAACGGCTGGGGATTGCGGCGAGCCCACCACCCGACGGTTTCATCCGGTCGACCAGGCCTGGAGGGAGCGGGCTCTCGTCACTCTGGCAGAGGCTCGGTGGATTGCCTCAAAGTCCACTGGGTGTTTGGGTTGAGGGCGCTGGCTTCCTCGGCGATGCTGTCGACTGTCTCGCTGCCATTAGGATCTCAGAGCGATGGCACCCACTGAAGATGGACATGCCAGTCCCTGCTGTCAGGTCTGGTCGATTGGGCCCTCGTCGTGCGACAAGTGCTCCAGCAGGTAGATCGGTGCTTCCTAGACAGCGAGCATCCAACACGGAAGCCGGAACACAGCCGACACGTTGGGATTCATATTTTGTTGTTGTTTTTGTCGTTTATTCCATCGGCCCAGATCAGCGCCCGGGAAACGTTTTGCTCTGGTGTTAGCTGTTATACCCGGCAGCCAAGGCAGCCCTGGCCGCCTGGGCAGGCGCTGGTAGTGAGCCGGCGTTGTATGGAGCTATACCCGCCTGCTGACCAGTCCGCTCGCCATTCTCCGCGGGTGGCCCTGGCGGCAGTCCTTGCCGCTAAGCCACTGTCCACGGTCTGCAGCGCCGCGTAGAAGTCGGTCCAGATGTGGCAGAAGCGCTGGTCTTGGGCCTTGGTCATGGTTATGATCGACCCTGCTGATGTCATCAAGCGCCGTCTTGAGAGCTCCGCCCTGGTTATGGAGCAGAGGGAGCCCGTCGCAACCCTTACCGTCATTCCTTCTCCTCTGTCCGAAAGGA